CTTGTTTGTTTCAACCTGTAAATGGAACTTTAGGGCCACGTGACACTTTGTGATACTGAAAGAATCTAAAAATGAAAACGTGTCTGTCTTTGCCAGTCGAGCATCTTAACGGGCTGTAACTGCATCTTTAGTCCGGGTATTTTGTTTCCCTTTCATTTAGACACAATTGGACAGTGTGGTGGTTTGGCTACTTTTTTACTAGAATTTTATTATTTTTGAAATAAGTAATAAGTTACCATAAATAAATATTTCCCCATCTAATTCCATCTGTGTCATTGTCCTATATAAGAGTATATGTCTGTATTACACACATAAGTTTGAGTATATTTCTGAACTGTTTTAAGGACTCCTGGTTGAACTCATTTGAATGAGGTTTGTGTTTTTCCTGTATGTGAATTTTGTAATATTTTGGTCACAGTGGGCTGGACGTTTTGACAGTGTAAATAAACACCGTTCGAAAGCCTTCCACAGACTAGAATCACAAAAAGAAGTGTCCTCACTCTGTTGTGTTAACTTCAGTGATCTCTTCCTCTAAACCATTAATGAGCCTTCTAGACTCCATTCGTTCAACACTTCTCAAAGACATTTTAGCTTTGATTAACGCTTTCTTTACTAACAGATAAGACACTGCATGCGTTCGACGTTATTAAACCATTCCTTTAAAAGGCCTTTCTTTGATCCAGCTGTCTCCCCTTATTTACTTCTTCAGACTGAAGACGTCACTTGGATGAGTGACGAAACGTTTCTCCCACTGAAAACTTCCACATGAACAGAATCAACTCTTTGGCTTTTTTAGCTACTAACCCCAATTCATACATCAGAGTATGAATATGTGTGAATGTTAGATAGAAAAAGCATTTTTTAAAAAGTGCTTGTGTGAACGGGTGAATGAGGAATGTTGTATAAAGCACTGTGAGTGCTCAGGTACAGTAGAACAGCGCCATAGATGAAACATTTTTGTGACAAATGCTAGTGGAATCATTCTTATGAGTGGCATCTATTTGGTTCTTTTCAATTCAATTTTATTTATAAAATGCCAAATCACAACGACAGTCGCCTCAAGGCGCTTTATATTGTAAGGTAGACCCTACAATAACACATACAGAGAAAAACCCAACAATCATATGACCCCCTATGAGCAGCACTTTGGCGACAGTGGGAAGGAAAAACTCCCTTTTAACAGGAAGAAACCTCCGCAGAACCAGGCTCAGGGAGGGGCGGGGCCATCTGCTGTGATTGGTTTGGGGTGAGAGAAGGAAGACAGGATAAAGACATGCTGTGGAAGAGAGACAGAGATTAATAACAGATATGATTCAGCAGAGAGGTCTTTAACACATAGTGAGTGAAGAAGAAACACCCAGTGCATCATGGGAATCCCCAACAGCCTCAGGGCTCAGCGTCACCTGATCGAGCCTGAATCCAAACTGGAAGCTGGTTCCACAGAAGAGGGGCCTGAAAACTGAAGGCTCTGCCTCCCATTCTACTTTTAAATACTCTAGGAACAACAAGTAGGCCTGCAGAGCGAGAGCGAAGTGCTCTAATAGGGTGATATGGTACTACAAGGTCATTAAGATAAGATGGGGCCTGATTATTTAAGACCTTGTATGTGAGGAGCAGGATTTTGAATTCTGGATTTAACAGGAAGCCAAAACAGGAGAAATCTGCTCTCTCTTTCCTGTCGGGACTCTTGCTGCAGCATTTTGGATTAGCTGAAGGCTTTCAGCGAGTTTGTAGGACTTCCTGATAATAATGAATTACAGTCGTGTAATTCATGAACTAGTGAACCTTCTCAGGAGTGGCAGGCCGACTAATTACTCCAAGACCGCAGTGACGAGTCCTCCGAGAGGTCACAAAAGACCCCAGAACAACATCCCAAGAACCGCAGGCCTCATCTGTGCCAATTAAGGTCAGTGTTCATGAGAAAGAGACTGAGCAACAATGGCCTGCATGGCAGAGCTCCAAGATAAAAAAATATATATATATAAAGTACTTTCAAACAAAGTGCTGCACAGCTATTTGAAAAGGAACATAAAGGCTTGTCACAGACAGAAATATCTTGATGATCAGTGACTTTTGGGAGAATATTCTGTGGACAGAAGAGGCAACATTTGTAATTTTTGAAAGGTGTGTGTCCCATTACGTCTCACGTAAGTGGAATGCATAATTTCAGAAGAGGAACATCACAACAACATTAAAATATGGTGGTGGCAGTGTGACGGTGGCAGTGCCGCTATCGAAGAAGAATAGTTTGCACTGCTGACAGAGACGAATCTGTTGTTGAGGTATGAGGGGAGCCAGTGTAGTGCTGTGCCGCTGACACCAGCACTGAAGTGCAGGCGTTGTACAAGACCGTTGTGGTTTCTATTCTATGCTGCAGGTTGCCTTGATACTAATGATGGTCTGTTTGAAGTTGAAGCTTCATGTGTCATAAAAAGAAGTCACAAGAAAAGGAAGAACACAGCATGGATATGTCACATGATATTAAACTGAAGCTGGTGGGCAGAAACTTGGTAGAGTGGGCAATCATAATGAAGCAGTTCCTTTTAATTTGTAGATTCAAGCTGCTCTTCATATTTCTGGCCACCAGATGTCACCAAAGACTGTATTGAAAAGCTTTGATCAATGAACCTTTTTCAATACAAGCTTCAGTGCTTCAGAAAGTGTCATTTGGCCGTCACTATCCGAAACTCACCTTTTGAGACTTTTGAGAGGATTGGAAGTTTGTAGGTTGGTCAGTAGTTTTTTGGTAAGGTGGGTTCTAGGTTATTGTTCTTCATCAGAGGTCCAACTGCCTGCTTGAAGAGAGCTGAACCAGTACTGAAAGACAGAACTGTTGATGATTGAGAGAATGCTTGGACCAGCGTCTCGTGGATAGGTTGTGGATTTAATGAAAGAAGGATGGGATAGTGTGGTATGAAAACAGATCAGAAGAAAGAATCAGTTAAAATGTGAGGGGAGGTAGTAATACTACTCCTAATATTCTGAACTTTACTAGCAGAGGCATCCTAAAAAGGCACTGGAGGAGATAAAAGAGTTGGTGGTGGAGAACAAAATCCTCATAATGGGATTATTGGAGGTTTTTGTGATTTTGTAAAAGAAATATTTACAACAGCAGATTTACAGATTTCCTCTGGGTTATTTTACAAAATTAAAAACAGAGCTTGAAACTTGCTCCTCCTTCAATGTCTCTCTGGTTTTATACAATCTGTCCTGAGAGCTCCAGTGTCACTGATCCAGGGTGACTTTTAAGGCCTGGGTTTACTCAGTTTATACGGAGCAATGGTTTCAATAACTGTGGCGCAAGTGGTGCTGAATAAGTTGATAAGGCGAGGGAGCTGGAGGCAGGTGCTTTCAAAGGCCTCACCAAAATTCTTAGCAGTAGAGGAATTAATACAACCTGATCAGCGTAATGTGTCCAATTCAGTGTTAGGTACAGGAAACATGGAGCAGTGCATACAAATGACAGGAAAGCGGTCTGATAAGCAGGCATCACTTACATTCAGATTAAAATCGAACACCTGATGGCAACACAGTGTGTGGCCTAGTTTGAGAGGGTGTAGTCTGTTCATGAACCAGAAATCCAGAGAGGCTGTATAGATGAATTCAAAACGCTTCTGGAAAATATCTGTCAAATATGTGAAATCACATGTACCATATCACCCTATCAGAGCACTTCGCTCTCGCTCTGCAGGCCTACTTGTTGTTCCTAGAGTATTTAAAAGTAGAATGGGAGGCAGAGCCTTCAGTTTTCAGGCCCCTCTTCTGTGGAACCAGCTTCCAGTTTGGATTCAAACTTTCCTTTTTGCTAAAGCATATAGTTAGGGCTGGACCAGGTGACCCTGAATCCTCCCTTAGTTATGCTGCAATAGACGTAGGCTGCCGGGGATTCCCATGATGCATTGAGTTTTTCCTTTCCAGTCACCTTTCTCACTCACTATGTGTTAACAGACCTCTCTGCATTGAATCATATCTGTTATTAACTTCTGTCTCTCTTCCACAGCATGTCTTTATCCTGTCTTCCTTCTCTCACCCCAACCAATCACAGCAGATGGCCCCGCCCCTCCCTGAGCCTGGTTCTGCCGGAGGTTTCTTCCTGTTAAAAGGGAGTTTTTCCTTCCCACTGTCACCAAAGTGCTGCTCACAGGGGGTCATATGATTGTTGGGTTTTTCTCTGTATCTATTAATGTAGGATCTACCTTACAATATAAAGCGCCTTGAGGTGACTGTTGTTGTGATTTGGCGCTGTGTAAATTGAATTGAAGTGAATTGAACATGTCTGAGTAACTTGTGTACAAAACCTTTGGTGTTTCAGAGTAAGGTCTTTGGATATTGTTGATATTTTGCAAGTATCAAGATTTCAATGGTTTATATCGTCCCCAAATGACACTGGCCTAATTAATTAAATAGTTTATTCTTTGCAAGCACTGTAAAAAAACTACATCTGCTCACGATAAATTATAAAACTATCAGGTCCCAGAGAGTAGTTTTACACCAACATTTGTACTCTGAGTGAGAAGACCAGGATTTACTTACACTGTGATTAGTCAATGAAAATGTCACAAAGACATCAACATAATAATTTTAATCATACTAATAAAGAGTTTTAACAGTTTATTTGATTAATTTAAAAATGTAAGAAGACTATTTTCACTATTGTCAAGTCACCATAAATCATATTTGTTTGTTTTATAAAGATGCAACAGTAATGATTCATGTCAACAGAATTTTAAAGAGCAGAGCACAAATACACTTTCAGTGCGCGTTTGTCCAAATCTTAAACGTATCAAGTATCGATCCAAATACAAGAAAAAACAGCAAATAATTCACTTCTGAACCTGTCGATAATGTAAAGTTCCACTGACCTAATGTTAACACCAGTGTGAGAAAACAATTCTTCTCTTTGAAACACTGTTTGTGCTCCAGCTCAGCTGCAGGGTGTAGCTGTACTGAGACTGAAACGCTGATCTAACACCTCGACGTTACAATACATGATTGATACTGGAATACTGAATGCAGTATTCCAGTAAGTTACTTCTGGAAAACTGAATGCAGACTTTCGTTTTTTCTTTGGGAGCTATACCACAATGTACAACTGAGCCAGCGAGGCTACTGCTCCGATGTTATGTTAGTTGGTTAGTTCTGGATTTCTACGTAATTTATTTTCCCTGCTGGACTCCCTGCATTCATCCCTCCTCCCTCTTTCTTCCATTCCTTCTGTGCCTCCTCCTCCCTTTTTCTCTCTTTCCAAAGAGCAGCTTCCTTTTACACTGAAAAATGGAGACGAGAAGTGATCATTCACTGGCTTTCTCTGTCAGGGTCTTCACTCTGCAGGAAAAGGTGAGAGCTGAAGCATGCGTGGATACACATAAAGAGGTGATATTGGAGGTGACAGAGGTGCACTCTTTCACCTCCAATAAAGTGTTTTGCATGCACTGGCATTGGCTACTGTAGCTGTAATTCTGCATGAATGCTGTTGCTGTGGAAGTGAAAGCAAACAGGCTGCTGCTGTTGAGAACGTAGGATTAGCTGTGTATAATTCTAAAAAACATGCCTTTTTATTTATTATTGAGCTGTTAAGAAGAACAATTACACAAGAACTGAAATGAAAATCAGTGAAAGTTTTGGTTCAAATCCTCATCAGTATGTACAAAGGAGGTCTGGAGAGTCATCGAAGTATGTGTGTCTACAGTCATCTGTAAAAGTCAGCAGAGGCTCTGTCACCTTTTTGCAGTTAGGCTGAAGAAGAAGAAACTGTTCATTGTTAAAGCAAGGTTAAACTAACAGATGCACATAAGTCTTACATCCTGTTGACTTGAACATTTACAGTATAGGGCCTGAAAATTCCAGTAGTGTTAATTTGTCATATTAATGTCGCTTTATAACAGTAAGGTTGACAGAGTATTTTTCCCGGTGTCAGGTAAACCATTCCTACAGTTTAAATGAGCCTGGCAGCCTGTGTTACTGTGGAGAAGCAGGGGTTGGTGCAATATGGGCTGTAAGCCCGGGTTAGGAGAGGCGTGTTCACATGTTAGTGCCATGATCTGCGCCATTCTGGTAGCTATCAATAAAGGCTGATTAAATGGCCTGTATTTATATAGCGCTTTACTAGTCCCTAAGGACCCCAAAGCGCTTTACATATCCAGTCATCCACCCATTCACACACACATTCACACACTGGTGATGGCAGCTACATTGTAGCCACAGCCACCCTGGGGCGCACTGACAGAGGCGAGGCTGCCGGACACTGGCGCCACCGGGCCCTCTGACCACCACCAGTAGGCAACGGGTGAAGTGTCTTGCCCAAGGACACAACGACCGAGACTGTCGGGGCTCGAACCGGCAACCTTCCGATTACAAGGCGAACTCCCAACTCTTGAGCCACGATCGCCCAATTAGTGCATAGCACAGCAGCTATCTGGAATTTTGGCCAAGTTAAACCCAAAACTGTTCAAAGGATGGCTGGAGGGCAAAGGACTGCAGTACTTTTTGCAGGATTGCTCTCCCCCCGCTTCAGGACACCTACACCAGGAGATGCCGGACTAGAGCAGCGCAGATACTGAAGGACCCGTCCCATCCTGGCAACAAACTGTTCCAACTTCTGCAATCTGGTAGAAGGTTCCGCATCTTCCGGGCAAGGACAGAGAGACTCAAGAGGAGCTTCTATCCCCAAGCCATCCGTGCCCTAAACACACACACCCGCCCTCTCACATCATCTATAATTGACTGAGACAGGACTCTTCCAGACACTAAACCAAGGCACAATGTACATTTCAATTCCTTTAATTTTAAATATGTTTATATTGTCTATCCTGTAAAATAGTCAGATGTCTATTCATATTAATGTACAGAATTCACCTGCTTGCTGCTACTACTGCACATTCACCCAGTGTATATACTATATGTCTGTATATATATATATATATATATAATATATATATATATATATATATATATATATATATATATATATATAATGTTCTTCCTCTACACCCCCCCCCCCCCCCCCAATTTTTGCACATGTCGAGGAGCGTGTCAGGCTACATTTCACTGTGTGTTATACTTGTATAACTATGCATGTGACAAATAATAAAGAACCTTGAACCTTGAACCTTTTTGGGCGTGTCCCTGTAGCTCTGGCATCACATGAACATTTGACTGAAGCCTGGGTTCTGGCTGGACCACTCACTGACGAGTCTTCCCTGTTTTTGCAGCAAAAACAAACATTCCCACAGTATGATGCCGCACCACCATGCTTCACTGTAGGGATTGCATTGGCCAAGTCAGTAGCATCAGAACGACCAGCTCAAGCTTCAATTTGAAAGTGGAAATTCCCACCATGACATTTCCCATCACTGAAATTGCCGTGTTGAGAATTTATCCAGTGAACAAAAGCAAAAACTTTATATAGTTTTGTCCGTGCAAGATAGATATTGTTTTTTCTGTTCAGTTAGCAAATTCTGCTCCATAACTAATAATGCAGTTATACATAATGCAGTTTGCTTGTAGGCAAACTTAAGATTTAGAAGACAGAGCTGAACACTTTGCTGTGGTTGGGTTCTGAAGGAGGAGCAGGTTCAAGGAGAGGTGAGCAGAGGCCAGCATGTGAATGTGTGCGGACAGAGAAATGACCAAGAACTCACTCTTCATCTCACCACAGGACAGGAAGCTCAGCAGGTAACTGTGCAGGATGGTAAGTACGCAAGGAAAAGCAAAACACATATACAACTATACAAACACACTATGTTTGCTTAGACCAGTGGTTAGCTGCAGTAATAACAGAAAGCCAGTTAGTAATTGAAAGTATGTATATATGTATATATGTATTTATAGTGAATATCATCTGGCAATAGAAGGTGGTTAGTTCTGACCTAACTTTACTGCTCTTGTATGGAAGTTTGTGTCCCAGTGGGTCACACATTGGCTGTAACACTTTGCATGTGAGTGGGTAGCATTAGCAGTTTATGTTTTTTGTTTAAGTAAAGTTTTCATGGAAATACGTCGCTCTGTCTTGTATTTAGTTTTCCTCAGTGATGTTTCTGAGGTCTTTATGGGTTTTGGGGTCTTTCAAGCTCACGTAGGTGGCCCAGCCAGTGTTGATCACACTCCGGCTTTCATCTAATGAATCATTCTTCCTAATCCCGAGTCACCTAGAAGCCCTTACAGCAGCCTTCACAGTGAACAAGTGAAAAGGCAAGACCAGCACAGACCTTGTACAGTGAATGGCCAGCAAAACCTTGCGCCACACATTAGTCAGTTGACTTCCATCCTCCCCTCTGGTACTGATTCACGAGGTCGCCCCTGCTTCTGTGCAGTCCCAGAGGGGAGGTGTCATGATCTGAAGAAGCTGAATACTGCACCATGTCTGGTGTCAATGCAGTTGCTATGACGTGTTCTTTAAATGACTCACAGCTGCTGATCTCGGTGACGTTCGGCACTTTAAAAACCCTGTGGATACAAATCTTACTGTTTTTTAAGTGTCCTCTTTATGTGTGGAACGTGTTTACAGCCAACGAAGCATTGGTTTTCCAGTTCACTGTTTCCGAGGAGATGGACTGCTGCCAGGTCGGAGGTCAGTCCTTCTTAGTCACCAACAACAACAACTGCAGTCTTCTGCTGCAATTCAAAACTCCAGCTGGTTTGTAGAGTATATTCTATAATAATTCCTACCATGAGAAGTTCTGATTTGTAGAATGCTGAAAGAAACTTGTCTTTGACTCTTTAGATATGCAGAACTTCCAGAGATTACTGAAGACCGAGGAAAATGAAAAGAAGGGGAAAGGTTGGATTGAAGTACATCAGGGAGGCAATGAGGATGCAGAGAGAGGACCAACAATGTTTAACAGAAGGATTGAAAAGAACCCTGCACAGTGCTACCAGGTAAGCGAACCAAGAATTCGAACCTTAAATTTAACACTCGAACATGGTTTAATGCTTCTGCGTGTTTGCAGTTCCACAGCTGTCTCACCCAGCAGCAGAGCCTGCTTCAGGACTACTTGAGGAACGCCACCTATCAGAAAGCCATTTTAGTCAATGAGGCTGACTTCAGAGACAAGGTGCACTTCTATGAATGGATAGTGTTATAGCACGTTCCTTAATTATGTCTATAAGGTCTGTACAGTTTACCTATTACACTGCTGTGAAACGTGTTTTCCCATTTCCTGGTTTCTTATTGTTTTCCATATAAAAGCTTGTGCTCTTGCTGAAAAGCTGTCTACAGTTTTTGCTTTCTGACACTTTCAGTTCTTTTCCTTTTCACTTTTGGTCTGAGGTTTTCACTTTGACTTTATTCTATGGGAAGTTTGACTTGGCGTCTGCATGCTTTCTTGTCTCTGTAGGTGGTTCTGGATGTGGGCTGTGGTTCTGGTATTCTGTCTTTTTTTGCAGTGCAGGCAGGGGCTGCCAGAGTGTATGCTGTTGAGTCCAGCCCTATGGCCAAGTATACACAGGTCAGCGTGGTTCATTCTTTTACCGTTTATATTGTTTTCCTTAACTGTGCAGGTTTAACTCTTTGTTTATGTTTGAAAACCTTTCTTGCAATAATGAAGCCATTGTTTAGCATTCTCTAACTAACCTACAAGCATAATTTGAAGTTTTGGTGTGTAAGAGTTAAAGACATGAAGGGCCTGGATTACAGTCTACATGCATTTTGGCTTTGATAAAGTCTTAAGTGAGACCAGAGTCATGCATGCAAGCACATAGGGCACATACATGAGATGCAGAGCGTGGCATTCTCAGGAGTTAATGGATTGCTTCAACATGTGGCCAAGAGTTTAGTAGGATAGGGGCTGCAGAAAGCTGAAGCACACAGTACAGACTTACACCAGTGCTGGAAATGATACATTCGTAACTGAAACAATACTACTGTCATGCAAAAGTGCTTTTAAACACAGACAGGAACAGCTATTTGTAAAAACTCTTTGGGTTAAATAAATAATGCAAACTTTAACAACAGGAGACTTTCTGTGTGTGCATTCTTCCTTTGTGTCTGCATGGATTTCCTCCAAATATTCTGCCATCCTACCACAGTTAGAAGACATTCGTGTTAGGTGGACTGGTAATTACATATTGGCATGTACAGGGGCTTGCAAAAGTATTCGGCCCCTTGAACTTTCCCACATTTTGTCACATTACAGCCACAAACATGAATCATTGTTATTGGAATTTCACGTGAAAGACCAACACAAAGTGGTGCACACGTGAGAAGTGGAACGAACATCAGACATGATTCCAAACATTTGTTACAAATAAATAACTGCAAAGTGGGGTGTGCGTAATTATTCAGCCCCTGAGTCGATACTGTGTAGAACCAGCTTTTGCTGCAGTTCCAGCTGCCAGTCTTTTAGGGTCTGTCTCTACCAGCTTTGCACATCTACAGACTGAAATCTTTGCCCATTCTTCTTTGAAACAGCTCCAGCTCAGTCAGATTAGATGGACAGCGTTTGTGAACAGCAGTTTTCAGATCTTGCCACACAAGCAACTGTAGCTTGTAGGCTAAAGTACTTTAGTACTGCAGGCTTTAGACTACAAAAGTCCATTCCTGAGTCAAATGAGTTTAATAAACCTTAGCTAAAGTCCTGTTAAAAACTTGAGAAAACTATTTCTCATAAACATGAAAGTTTATTTGGAGACAAACTTCTCTAAAAAGCGGGGTTCACAATGGCTAAAGTGATTACTTATTATGAAACAGATTGATAATGACTGGGATACAAACATAAGACAAAATAGGAACGTCTGCTAACATGTTTCCAGAGTGTTGCACAGTACAATATAGTATGTGGTACAGTGTCCTGGTGCTATAGAGTGAAGTTAATATTCTTTAATAGTCATGCAGTCTTACAGTGAGTTGTTTAACGCAGGAGATATTTTCTGTCTCCTGTTCAGATCCTGGTGGAGGATAACCGTCTCTCTGAGCACATCAGGGTCTTTGAGGGGGAGATGGAGCAGGTCAATCTTCCTGACATGGTGGATGTCATCATCTCTGAGCCCATGGGTTATATGTTAGTTAACGAAAGGCTCATGGAGAACTTCTTGTTTGCCAGGAGATGGCTCAAACCCAATGGTAGGAATCCAGATATTGAGGTTAAACTATGTTTTAATGTAACGAGGCATCATTTGTATAAGCCACTATGGATGTGATTAAAAACACTGAGAAAAAGAACACCTTCAATTGAGTTCCAACTGCAGGAATTCTCTTTGTTCTGAGTAAGAAGGTACTTTGTTCCAAGTGGCACCTCAAAAAGTACTGAGCAGGGCTGGACTGATTAGTTCAGCTCTTCAGCTCAGTGCATTTTCTTTACGTGAGAGGAATAACAAATGAAAACTGCTGCTGTCACTCTATTGGTGGAAGTAATAAACAGCAATGCAGTGAAATCTTGATTTCCTCTGCTGACGAGGTTTGGTTCGATTTTATGGTGACAGCAGCTCATTGGCTGAAGCAGTTTTATGAAGCTGCACCTTGAGCCTGCCCCGACATTCTGCAGTGGAACAGGAGCGACTATATCTTCCTCTGTTAGCGTTTTTGTCTTTCACTTATTCATTTTCTCTGCCTTTCTATTATTATCCACTTCTCTCAATTTCCAGGTGTGATGTTTCCCTCCTATGGAGACATTCACGTGGCTCCTTTCAGTGATGACCAACTGTACTTTGAGCACTACGCACGGGCCAATTTCTGGTCTGTCACTCACGCACAGATGCACAGACATAACTCTATTCCTGGGGACACGAACACACTGGCTCCTTTTTATATCTCACACGTTTGACAGTCAGGCTGTGAAACATTTAGTCCAGTCCTGACTCATACAAAACAAAATGGATTTGGGTTTTTTTGTATCAGTCAAAGTCCATAAAGAAAGCAGGAAAAAGTCAGAAGCTGAAGAGGTACGGGACATATAGTAGGGTGCAAACGAGGGAAAAACAAGTCAAACTGAGGGCTTAAATATGCACAGGAGGTGATTAGAGAGAAGCAACTTAGCTGGGAAAACAATGCACTGGTGAACTGAACCGGACCAACGAGACAGAAGGGGAAGTAAAACCAAATGCAAGGCACAAAAAAAAATCTAAATAACACATAGAAAGTAATATTGCTGTACCCTCTGAGTGAGTGAAATCGGTTTTAGTAGCAAGGAAGGAAATGATCTTTTTGCACAGAGACACAGTGTGGTTAATAAGATGGTGCAAAAAGCTCCATTTGGTCAACCTCACAAATAGGACGAGTGGATTTGTACAAATTGAAATGGCTGGTGATGCACAGATGCAAGGTTATCAACGGTTCCACCCTCGTGCAATAAAGGACGTATGTTCTATCACAAGACGGCTAATCATCTACATAAGGCGTGAGGGTGTAGTATCCATGGCAGTTTATCTTGAAACAACAACTGTAATCTGCATATTAGCACAAATTCCCAAATAAAATTGTTTTCTCAAAATAGTATTTAAACCTTATTCTCTGAAACACAACTGGACCCTAGTCTTGACCTTCTGATTTTTAAGCTAAGGCAGGAATATTTCTGATCACCTGGACCCATCATTTCATGTTAACACAGGGAGAAATATACTTTGAAGAAACACAACAAAAAAGGAACAGAAAGAACTTTTATGATGAGACAGCATGCCTTTCTTGTTTTTATAACATTTGTCATTCATTTGTTTGATGTGATATTGGACAAAGTGGAAAACGGCATGCATACTAGACCAGAGGTCATACAGGGGACTCTGAGCACCTGACTCATGTGGATACAGCCCTAATTACTGGGCTCTCAGGCCTGATCACTGCTCGTATGTGCCAGCATGCTTTGGCCAGTTCACAGAACATGTTTTTAAGACTTCTGACTTCATTTAAAATACAGCTCTGGTGACGATCGCTTCCATGCCTTTGACGTGTTCAGCCTGCAAACAATACCACCTCTGTTTTGGAGTTTGCATGTGCATGCATGCATGCCACCATGTGTGTGTATGTGAGTGCTGCTATGCTCTCTTCCCCTCACTGCTTTACCACTATGTGCAGGTCAGGCTCCGTCGGTACTGAGGAATGAATGTAAACTGTAAACGTTTTCCATCAGTTTCTACTTCCCTCACTTTTCAGCAGTAGAAGAAAGACATTTGACAATTTTAATCTTTGTAATCACATTTACAATAACATTAATTATTCTCTGAAGTTCTGCATGAGTTCCTGTTTTTTGGGGGGTGGGGGTTGTGTATTTCTCATACACATTTCTGATCCAACAAACTTAAATATTAGACAAAGTTAACACAAGTGAACACAAAATGAAGGCGTTTATTATTAAGGGGGAAAAAAATCAAAACCTTCATGGCCCTGGGGGGTCTGGTCTGGGGAGGTTTTGCTGCTGCGAGACCTGGAAGACTGGCCGTGGTAAACGGAACCATGAATGTCTACCAGAACATCCTGAAGGAGAATGTCCGACCATCTGCTCGTCACCCTGAGCTCTACAGCAGGATAACGATCCAAACACATCAGCAAGTCCACCTCTGACTAGACCCCTCCAAAGTCTTCATTTTGTTTTTCTTCATCCATCCAAAATCCTGACCTGAATCCGACTGACATGCTGTGGCACGACCTTAAAAATACCCTGCAACGTGGCTGAATTACAACAATTCTGCAAAGATGAGTGGGTCTAAATTCCACTCTAAAACACTCATTGCCAGTTATGACAAACATCTGACTACTGTTGTTGGTGCTAAGCGTGGCCCAACCACTCGTTAGGTTTAGGGGGGGTAATTACTTTTGTAGGTTGTAGATGCAGATTGTTTTACACCTTCATTCACAAACTGCATGTTGTGTTTACTTTTGTTATGTTTCATCTAAATGGGAAAAAAGGAAGAGGGCAAACATTTTTTCACACCAGAGTATATATAAGCTATTGTTAAATATTTTTCTCAGACTAATTAAGCTGCCATCTGAGTGCATTTAGAAACTGAGGGGTAAAATTACAGATACGGTGTTAACCACCAGTTGTGCCAATCGGTCGACTGCAAATAACTTGATCTCTGCTCTTTACATGTTTCCCTTTAGGCAGCAGAGGAGCTTCTATGGCGTGAACCTGAGTGCTCTTCACAATGCTGCGGTGGAAGAGTTATTCAGGCAGCCTATAGTGGTATGGTGCACTGTATGATACAAAACATACACGTAGATGAATAGAAAATGTGTAATGAACATTAAACTCAGCACAAAAACTAAGGATATTTGTGATCTTAGATGGTGCCACATTTGTAAGGAAAATGTATTAGTGGGTTGCACCCATGAAAAACGTGCCAAATCTGCGCTACCATTTCCAGTCAGCTTGTTGTATGATTGACTCTTGTTTTGAGCTTCTGGTAGAGCTGATGATCAGGTGGCTGACTGGTGCCTGATTATCAGGACCTGTTAGCATGGACCCCGTTTCAACAGTCAATAGATATCTTATCCAAGCATGACACATTTGGCTGATCTGGCAACTACAATTTGGTCTTCTGCAAAATCAGGTAGCAGCATTGTTTCAAGTGAGGCCTAGTACCATCTCTAAATTGAAGGTGAAGTTTCATATAATGGGAGGTGTCAGAGACAGTCCATGAGCACTGAGTCCAGATTCTTCCTATGGCGGTTGGATCATGGCATCAAAGTACTCTTTGATTCGAGTACTAACCAGGCCTGATCGTATTTAGCATTTGAGTTTGGACAAGATCAATCATGCTCAGGGTTGTATGGTCATCAATGCCAAATTCTGTGTTAAACTGACTCCACTTTTAGCAATGAAAATCGTTCTCACAGATGGGTCATTGGCTTGAACCCAGAGACCATCATGAGTTTTACTGAACAGTCTAAACCAGGCAGGGAATAATGTGGTCAGCATGACCGGGAACATGTGATTAGTTTTTGCAATTGACTGCAGATCAGTTCCCAGTTGTTTTGATTGTCTTCCTCGTCATGTTATGATAAAAACAAAAGATAAAGCTGTTTTATTGAGGGCTCATTGGATGGTTTTGATCAAGGAAATCAAGGAAATGTCTTTTGGACGAATGCGTCCACAGAGCCAGAAGTTCAAGTTCCAGCCTAAAGGGACAGAGAATCAGTGCAAAGGAGCCCTGGAGCCGCTGTGGACGAACACTTACTGTGACATTTTGTAATGTGTGCTCTTTTAATTTGTCATCACTCTGTGTGATAATTGGCATTGTTGCTTTCGTAGTTTCTTTTTCCTCCTAAATTTTATACTCTTATCAAAAGCTTGTAATAAATTTAAACGTTTGTTCCAGGACACATTTGATGTTCATATCCTGATGGCCAGGTCTGTCAAGCACTGCATCAATTTCATGGAAGCTAAAGAAGAGGATTTGCTGAGGTTATACACTGAATCATATTTGATGCCTGATCAGAAACATTGTATCTACACCTCATCTATGCAGTGATTATGTCACATTATTGATGATTTAAGATGTGACTGGAATGTACTTATAGGCAGAAAACAGATGAGTGGTTATATAAATAAACGAGTCACACCTGAGTAAAAACACAGCAAACATCAGTTAACTCTAAGAATTCCTGTTGGTTTTGTTATAGTGTGCTATAAATGATAGCTTTGCCATTTCATTTTTTTAATGTTCAAAGTTGAATTATTGACTTACTTTATGATTTAATACTTTATTATACTTTACATATGTTACTACTTAATGTTTTACTTTTTCTGGTTGGAAAGTAAGGTGATGCTAGATAGTCCAAACAGTTTGAGAAAAACACAAGTTAATGACATATTAACGAACACTGGATGCCAAAACCTTTGTGTGCAACACTTTTCTTATAATGTTTTTAACTATTTGATGAAAATTGAAAAACAAAATCTGTGTTTACAGAATAGAGATTCCCTTTGTGTTTACTCTGCTCCAGTCTGGTCTGATCCATGGACTTGCCTTCTGGTTTGATGTGGCCTACCTGGGATCCAAGTAAGTAATCCAATGCTTTCTTTCTAAGATTTAATGAAGGATTTTCAATGCAGACCAAATGGAAGGATGCATGGAACGAAAATATGTTATAGCAACAGAAAAACTTTGATTATTCAAGCACACAGAAAATTTTGATCTGACAAACAAAATATTAAGCCATGTCCCCCTCAATAGGTATATTCACCTGAAGCCGTTCAGTATGGAGGTGATCTCTCTCACTCTCTTTGTAGGGCCACAGTATGGTTCTCCACTGCTCCCACAGAGCCTCTGACCCGCTGGTTCCAGGTCAGATGTCTACTTCAGACGCCGCTCTTTGCCAAGCTTGGACAGACTTTGTCTGGGACAGTCCAACTGGCTGCTAACAACAGGTACAGCTGTGCTGTCCATAGGACTGCATTATCAATAGAGCAAAGAGGGAAAAGCAAAGGAGCTTTAATACCCTGCTTTAGTTCCACAGGTGCTTAAAGTGCTCGAGTTGCCAGTTGGACACGTTTTCACAAGAAAAGAGAGAAACTCACAGAAAAATACATAATCAGCTAATTCAGACTGTCTCGTTACTTACAAATATGAATGATACAATATTTGCCAGTTAATTATCTGTCAGTTGCCTTCCTAATCACTTTTTATGTATCTTTGTGGGCAACTAAAGGCACTTATCGCAGACAAGTCAGTGGGGTTGGGGATCAAAAAAGGTTCAACAACAAGTTTTTCCCAGGTTACAGATTTCAACTTGTACCAACCCTTATCTTTCTCACTCCAGACAAAGCTATGACATCCACATCACAGCTACAGTGGACCAATCAGGCTTCAGATCTGGGAACATCCTGGATCTCAAGAATCCTTTCTTCAGGTCACTTCTCTCTACTCTTTAATGCATACATGCTGATTATTTTGCTATAAAATTTGCCCATGAAATCTTGATTTGTTTCTTTTTGTTTGCTTTCAACTTCAGAAGTTACCCAAGTGGAAATCTTCAAAGTTCATTTTGTCAGTAGACCAAATTTAAACATGAGTACAATTTGTACAGTTCATGTAAGTTCTATGTTCATAAATATCCATCCATCCATCATCTTCTGTTTATCTGGGCATGGGTCACGTGGGCAGCATTCTAAGCAGAGACTCCAAGACCTCCCACTTCCCAGCCACCTCCTTCAGCTTATCCAAGGGAACACCAAGCTTTCCCAGGCCAGCTGAGAGATGTAATCTCCCCCAGCATATCCTGGGTCTTCTTGGGGCCTCCTTCTGCTGGGACATGCCCAGCATGTCCCTTTCAAAAGACTGAACTCCTCACACTCTCTCTAAGGGAGAGGCCAGCTACCCTTTGGAAAAAAATTATTTCTGTCACTTGTTTCTGCGTTCTTGTTTTTCTTTCAGTCACCATCCAGAGCTTGTGACCATAGGTGTGGATAGGGATGTAGATCGACCAGCAAAGCGACAGCTTAGCCTTCTACACTATGACAAACTGGTATAGCCCCAATCGCTCTGTCAGTCTCTTGTTTCCCTCTCCCCTCACTCATGAACAAGACCCTAAGATATTTAACCCTTTGGGGTCCACGGATGCGCCAGCGCATCCAAATCACATGACCAATTTAAGATGACAGAGCAATAAGTTGCAGCCACCCTGAGTCTCCATTTCAACTTGTGTTGAAAATGTGGACTTCAAACTATATACCAGTTTTTAAATTGTGTTGATAGACCAGGTAAAACCAGAGTTATGATAAAAATAAATGTTTTTTCCTGAATACTATCGTAATGTTTACTGCAGGAAGAAGAGCATAAGAGCAAAGGAAAGAGCGAGATAGCAAGTTTTGAAATGTGAGAGGTTTGTGACGTTTAGTGTGTTTGGAGTGTGAAGTTAGTCTGTTGTCTTGTGTAGTTAGTATTTAGTGTAGTTGTCTGTTTTGTTTTGTGTGTCAAAATACCTCCTGCTTCCAGGCCTGCAGGTATCAGGCTGGTTATGTGCTCCTCTGTCTTATGGTGGACAGAAATGATTTTTTTGGAGTGGCACAAATAATTTGTGCAGCATCTTATTTGATACAAAACACCTGATTGTTCTGTAAATTGTTTTAAATGGTTACAAAAAAACCCGCCTGATGTCTTGGTTGCATTTTTAGGAAAATAGTTGCATATAACTTTGTTGTCTGCAAAACTTGTGCATAGGTTTTTAAAATGTACAATTTCTCTTTTCATTTTTAACAAAAAATAATTCATTAAACATGTTTGTGGTTTTTACAATAAAATATATACATTTTTTTACACTGATCTTATGTTTTATGTCTGATTTTTGATCAACTGTGTTAATAAAATTTGTCAAAAATTGAAAAAAGTGCTGTAAATTCAGACATGTGAGGTTGTGTTGATACCAAACAAGGCAAGATAAATAGTTTTTAAAGGTGAAATATAGAGGTAAAATCAAAGTAGTTAAAACAGCCAAGTATACCCTGGACCTCAGATGGTTAAACTCCTCTACTTGGGGCAGCAAGTCATTCCTGGCCTGAAGTGAGCACTATATACTCTTTTCTGGCTGAAGACCAGCCAGAAAAGTGCTAAAATACATTTTAAAATATATTTATATATTTTAAAATGTATTTTAGCACATATATTTTTTGGCCATTTTTTGTATATTTTGAAATATATTTCAAAATGTATTTTAAAATATATTTAAAAAATAGATTCATAATATATTTTGAAATGTGTTTTAACACATATATTTTTTGGCTGTTTTTTTATATTTTGAAATATATTTATAAAATATATTTCAAAATACAATTTAAACTTATTTGAAATCATTCAAAAAAATATAAATTTAACCCTTCATATATTTCTAAGAAAACACATTCACATGTAACAGCTGAAAGAAATCTTTATTTGATGTTTAAAACATACATATAGCATATCAATCAAACAAGGAATATTCATTTTACAAGTTTATTCTCATTACATACTTAAACATTCTAAAAGAAACACACACACACATATACATATGTGTATATATATATATATATATATATATATAAGATAGATAGACTTTATATTATGTATGTATATATATATATATATATATATATATATAATATATATATATATATATACATACATACATACATACATATACATACACACACACACATATGTGTGTGTATGTGTATATGTGTGTGTGATTGTATGAACATAAGTCAGCATACTTAAAATGTAATTTCTTTTCCTTTTCCAGCAGTCTCAGTTCCCCCAGCTTTCACGGCAATCCTCAAAGCCCTTCTGGACACGCTGGGAAACCCCTTCCTTACCGCCACTGTAACAAACAAAAGTCACAGTTCTATTAATTTTATCAGAGTTAAAATAAAAATATGATTTATGTTAGCTGGCTTCATTTAGCAAACAGATATTTCTGTTTATATAGATACAGATATTAATAAAGATATATTTTACGCATAATTTTACCTCTTTTTTCTCCTAGATGGGAAGTCTATCCAGTTCACATTATAGTAATGCTAACACCCCTTTTGGTCGTCTCTCCTTACCCTCCAGCATTCATAAATCTGTTGACCTTCTTTGTCTGAGACCAACCACTACAATGCATCATCACCTATTTGTATTGGTAACTTACTTTACAACCTATTTTAATGGTTGCAAAGTAAGTTACTTGTGCTGTATGCAATTTTAGATACACAGAAAGTCTTCACTTACTGTCATAGTGTCCTTATGAAGGGCAGTTCTTCACTCTGCGCTTCCGTCCGTTTTGCTCTGTCCTCCTATAAAAAGCATGAACATTTGAGTGTTTGACTAGTTTTAGATTTCCAAAAATTTGATATTTGTACAACTAAACATTTGAACTACAATGATATGCTATTGAGAGATACTTTTATGGGTACTTTTTGGTAAAGAAGCTGGTGACAGAGTTGTAGGCTTTTTAGAGTACTATTAGCTAACAATTTGAACTGACTTTCAAAGCTGATTACCTTTTAAATTGCTGTGGATCAAAACCTCCAGTGGGAAGGCGGCCATTAGAAGAACACGCACCATTGAACCTGAAAATAACAAAAACAAACAAAAAACAGAACAATATTTAAGAGTCCGGTAGGGTAATAAATCTCTTCTGAAGCAATATAGTTCATTTTGGGTGAAAAACAAAACATTCCTCTAAAATATATATACTGACATCAGCAATCAACATCATGATTGTAATTATTTCCTTTTTAGTACATCTACTGCTGTTTGCATGTGTCAAGCACTACGACTGTATCTATGCATATAAATTCACCATATATATCCAGCAAAAATGTTTTGTTATAGTCAAAAGGAAAACAAACAAAGGCATTCAATCAGAGGTGAGAAATTAATTGGGAATATGAATTATAGGTGAACTATTCTTTACCTACTAGCAATCAAGCTTCTTTAACCAAGAAGCTTGAAATATTTGAATGTAAAATAAAATAAATAAATAAATAATAATAAAAATAACATGATGTAATTAAAATGCACAACTTACATTAAGGAAATCTGCATTTGTATCCACAGGCTAAAAGTAAAACAGTAAATGTGTTAGTGATAGTACAGGTATTTGTAAAATAAAAAAAGAAAAAAAGAGGCAGTAACTGTGACGCTTCTAGTGGGATGCTAAATGCAGAGATTTATATTTACAGTATAATACTGCATGTACGGGTAGCTGTGTTGTGAACTGTAACTGAATATTAGAGAATCTCAGAGAAATTAAATGTATTTATTTTTTGAATTTATCAATCATAAAACCGTCTGTTTTGAAGGCCTGTTACGATAGCGACTTTTTGTTGGTCGGTATATTGCTCCATAAACAATTGCGACAAGTTATGTCATTGTCATTTTAAGACCATTTTATGTCTTTGAATGTATAATCATAATATAACACCATAATAATGCAAGATCTACACACTTTCAATTGACAAACCAACATCTAATTCTTAAAGTATTTAGATCATTGAAATTAGGAATCAAAATATTAGATACCTTAAAAACTTGAATAAATAGTAAATTTTCTAACAAATAGAAAACAATGTTATTTAATGTTATTGTTTTGTTATCATTATATTTTATTTTTGTAAATATAATGGCAGATAAATTACATCATCAACAATTATTGAGGTCATGTACATGTATTGTGTGTTAAGTCGATATATCGATTATTGTGATAGGCCTACTGTTTTGGTATCATAACGAGCTTGTCAAACATGCATGACCACTAAACAATGTCTAAGCAGTAGTATTGGTCTGAATGACAACAAACATAACTAGTGTTTTGGAAAATCTGTTAGAAAACAGTTATTTCAATAATTATGATTAGCATGTGACACAGACACCGCATAAAAAACTACAACAACAAATACTTACTTTAGGAGGATGGGGGAGGGCAGCATGAGGTTGAGACTTTGACATCTGTAAAAAACAAATTCATGTATTACAAACAAGTCACTTAAAAATACATTAATGTGGCAGACTGTTCCCTGTTCAGATGCAGTGTATAAGTACAATCAGGGCTGTCACAACAATGGGGTGGGGCCAAGTGGCTGCAACCCTAGGTACAATGTGCAGGTATATATAATTACATATAATATATGTGAATAAAGCAAGAATCTGTTTAGGTTAGTCACTGTGCTGACTGATGCTTGCTAGGTTTATATGATTGCAAACTGCACAAAAACAACAACAGCAACAACATTAATGACAATGACAAACAAAATTACTTACATTTATGTAAATCTCACATTAGGAAGATCTGCATTCGATTTCATGGGCTGAAATAAATAGGCAGAAACATTACTGCTAAAAAAATAAAAAACAAAAACTCTAAAAAGCCTAAAAATGACTTAAAAAGCAAGGAAATGTGGAACATTGTAATTAGCGAACATTAATAAAGCATAACTGTTCTTTGTTTCTAACCTTGGTAAGTACTCTGTAGCCAGAAGGAGAGGTAGGATTTCTGTGAAAGCCAAATTAAATGTGAATAGGCTTTGATAGTTATTGAGAAGGCAGAATAATAAGAAAAGGCAAAAGTACGTCACAATATAATTAATTAAGTTACATATTTTGATTACCAAATTATGGAAGCGTGGAGCTGCCACCCAGACAAAAGAAAAATAGAGCTGTATCACGTTATGACGTGAAATGTTTATTGTTCTAACATTATGCTTTTCATGTTTGTATAATATAATATCACGTTATTATAATATACATAATTGTCACGTTCGCACAATTTTGTACGGACGTGATAATTATGTACATTTTTCGTACAATGTTGTTCAAACATGTTGTTCAAACATGATAGTATATTGTTAGAACGATAAACTTTTCACGTTATAACGTGATATACTTATATTTCTCTTTTGCCTGGGTGGCAGCTCTACGCTTCCGTTCCAAATACACGAGAATAAAGTAATATTATATGGGAAAAGGCACCTGCTAGCTTGATGATGGAGGCTTCTTAGACTGGCCACCCGCCTTGGCTTCTTGTCGCCACTCCACGAAATAAAGGTCCGTTTCCTCCATGCCGGCTAATTATTCATCCTCATTAAAATCTCGTATATGTTCAGTTGGCAGAATTGAGAATTTTACATCTTCCAACCACTTAATTAACGCGAACATAATCGGCTTGTTTCTTCCCGTCTCCTGTATCCGGCCGTTCCTCTCGCTGTCAGATTTCGCGCCTCAGAGACGTCGTTATTTTTCAAAAAAAAAAAAAAAAAGAAAGAAAGAAACAGTAACAACTACTAAAGAGAGTTTTTGCACGTTCATTGCACATTTGTGGGAATGTTTAAATATTAAATTTTTATTAATTACTTTTCATTATATCTTTATTTTTTAAACCACCGTGGCAATGCGCATGCGCATACACTCCTGCACGCAAAGGGCTTTGGAGTTGACGTCTCAA